AAGCTCGTTGAACGCACCAATTCAAGAAGTGAGAAGGGAACAAACAAGTATAGGAAATATGCCGAAGAAATCTGGCATGCGAGGTTTCAAAATGAAACGTCCAACGAGAGATATCAAAATGAAACGTCCAACATCCAAACAACCGAAAGGAAACAGTCCAAAGGAAACAAAGGTAACATCAAAAGGAAACATTCAGAGCGTTCGACTCACATAGGTAAGAAGCGGTTCAAATGCGAAACATGCCCGCAGAGGTTCACTACGCCATCGGATTTACGTAGACATATAAGGACTCATACCGGTGAGAAGCCGTTTTCTTGTCCGGAATGCACAAGGAATTTCACCGAGAAAGGGAATTTGCATAAACATATGAGGATTCATACCGGTGAGAAACCGTACAATTGTTCGAATTGTGGGATGAATTTCACCCAGAAAGGGAATTTGCATGCACATATAAGGAGGATTCATAGCGGTGAGAAACCGTACAATTGTTCAAAGTGTGGGATGAACCAGAAAGGGAATTTGCATGAACATATAAGGAGGATTCATAGCAGTGAGAAACCGTACAGTTGTTCGGAATGTGGGATGAATTTCGCCGATTCATCGAGTCAGCTTAGGCGTTGGAGGACTCACAATAATGAAAAACCGTATGCTTGTTTTGTGTGCAATAAAAAATTCTCTCAATCAAGTGATATGAAACGTCATATGGAGATTCATGACAATAATAGGCCCAGATTTAGCTGCAAATGCGGCAAAACTTTCCTGAGGATGTCGTTGAAAAAACACATGAAGAATTGTGTAGGATGAGCTGACAAGCGGATTTTAAACATAAATACGCACTGTTATTTTGTTGTATTTTCTATAAGTTAAATTCATTATTCTTTATTGCATTGTTAACATTCTATTGCTATATATACATATTAGTAGTGTTCCTTTATGATTTCTTCATTATTCGATTTCTCCATCATTTCTCTTGTCTTAGTAAATGATTTGCATCTTACTAAGCAGTCTTTTCGTTTTTAGTGCATATATGACAAGCATATAACTTGCATTCCATGTATGAACCTGCAATTAAGTGTCACTATTACTAAATTATTGATGAAATGTTATGTAAAAATATGGAAGTAAATTTTTGGCAACGAAAAGGGTTTTCTTAATCACAACACTTGAAGTCTTGCACTATTTCAATGGGTTATACATCCACTTCTTTTGTGAACGTATGAGTTGGAATGTTCCGTTGAAGACAATAGACATTGTAATTATGTCACTTGTAAGTAATATTTCATTCAGTTGATAATCCATGTCAATTACTGTTTCACACCAGTGAGTTATCGAATAGTTGATTTGCATTCAATGAAAATTCAAAAACGACGACAGGTTTGAGAAAACAGATCAAAAAATCGCACAATCGAAAACTTTTTGAGATTATGTGAGAGAAAAAATTTTTAAAATTTGAGAAGTAGGAATGAATTTGATTTACCAAAGTTAATCTTTGATATGATCTGAGGAAATTGAAAAACTTCTCATGTTCGTTTTCAGTACTCGTCTGGGGTTTTATTTTTTAAGATTTTGAAAATATAAAAAAATGCATAGTTATGTGTTTACTATTTTATCGCAAAAAGTGAGCAAATATTACATTTCTTGACCAAAAAAAGTATATGTAGAAAAGAAAAAGAGGAAGAAAATTAAAAATTCTAAATAGCGCAATATACTGCTAAATGATCCAAAGCTCTGGAATAGAAATTGAAAAATTCCTAAAATTTCTGCCTATTTT